TTGTTCCAGTCTGAAGCCACATTTTTACCATCCACTGTTTAGATCTTGATGCTTTTATACTCTATATTTAAACCAGATGAAGGATTTTAGTTTTAATCCCAGGAGGAGATCTGTGTGTATAATTCAACTCCCATGATCCCAAAGCTGCTTCACGTCATCATCAGACAAACATCTTTTTTAATGGTTTTGATGTGAGAGTCTCGCTAGTGGCAGAAATTACATATTGTACATTTAAGGGGGAGACACTACAGGTGAACTGGATAATCTTTATTATTATTTATTTTACTATTGAACTAATTTAACTAATAGATATCACCATGAAACTCCCCCAGTTGCACTCACATTAAAACAGTTATTTATTGTATTACATGTTTTCAGGAATTGTATATTTAAATATGCAAATTTAAATGTAAATTTCCACATGTTAATAAAGGAAAATAGCTTTTGACAAGTGCAAGCAAACAATATTTTTAAGCATTGGCCATAGACTCTTGGTCTTATTGTCATACTGCTGACAGGTGTGTTGTGTTTTGTGAAGCACCACCAATGTAACCATTGTTACAGTATACAGATACTTGTTTAATTATTGTGTCTGTATATAAACTGGTATTAATTCATCTAGAAGATTAAAATCTGGCAACTGTGTATTTCTTACTATGACCTTCCTGCTCTATAGATACTGAGTATGTACAAGTGCCCAACTCAGAGGTATCAGAATAAGCAGAATAACATAGTTCAGTCCTGGCTGAATGCCACTTTAACCAGCTGTAATTCACTATGTGAAGAATGTTATACAGCTCTGACTATCAAACAAGCATAAAGTCTATTTCTGCTGTCACAGACTACATCCATCTCCACCTGTCTGCTCAGTTACAGTCTCTGGTTGTTCACGCAACATTTTTCAACACATCAGCTCACAAAATCAGCTGTAAGAAGCTTCAAAATGCAGCTGCTTTCAGTCAGTCACATCATACAGTTGTCTTTGTTTTACTCTCATCGCCAGAGAACAACGTCAACACAGTGGCGGCTGACTAAACCCTGAAAGTTTGAGCCTGCAGAGAGAAACTGCTCTTCAAATCCAAATGTCTGAGTTAGACGACTCCTCTCTTTGCACCAAAAAAATGAAGCAGCAACTTTTTCTCTAAACTTTGTGGATTTCCTCTGAAGCACTGAATCACCACCACATGTGGCTGTGAAGCAGAGAGACAGACTTACACAGAGGAAGAGGAGGAGGAGGAGGAGTTATTGTTGGTGGGAGAGAAAAAGATAAAACCAGTGGTGGAAAGTAACTAACTCAAGTAGTGTACTTTACTCTACTTTATACTTCTACTCCATTACATTTATCTGACAGCTTTACAGATTTCACAAACAAAACGTTATCGCTTTATAAAATATGACGCTATGCTACAGATTGAACTATCCAACTGTATATAATGTAGTTAAAAACATTCAAATGTTTCCTTTGTGTTAAAGCATCATTCATAATATTCTAAAAATATGATAAATATAATAATATAACTCTCTGCCCAACAAGTACTTTCACATTCAACAGACAAGAACCTGAACAATAGATTAGATGTTGTGGAAATAAGAAAATTAAGAGAAATTATGAAGGAAGAGCAATAATTATAACCAAGAAGATTTACGGTAAAATACACTGAAAGGTCAATCCTGAACATGCGTGGAAGTGTTAAAATCCTGACCCTCCCTCTACTCGACTGTAAACGAGCTGTTTAAAGGAAGTCTGGGTCTCACACATGCACAGCTGTTGGGTGTTGTGACTCCCTGTTTAACGGAAAAAGACCTCCACTGTTTATACTGAGAAAGAGACTGCAGGAAAATGAGAAATAGAGCAGAAACAAAGAGAAAAGTTACTGTTGACTGTAGGAATATGTCAATGACAGTCATACCTAGAGACATAAACATAAGCCTTTCCCTTTATATATATATATTTTCTTCAAAACTTTGTGAAGTGAGAGTGATGAGTGAGAGTCTGACTACATTTTCACACTGTAAATAGATGTGATTACTGTATTGTGTCTCAAGTATAGAAGACAATTTCCCCATTTCCCCATTGTGGGACAAATAAAGGAATATCTTATCTTACAAGTGCCAGAAATTGCACGTCAGACTGCTGTGAGGCCTGACTGCAATATATAGATTGCCATGACTTTGGGAATCCTTTGACTTTTTTTTTTACTTTCCCAGCGGCCTCAGCTGTACTTTGAAGGTAAGCATGCTAACACTCTGAACTAAGGTTGTGAACGTGTGAATTTTAGCTGAAATTCTTATGTTTAAGAAAAGGTTTCTGGGATTTAAACAGGTCAAAACTGGATACAAATGTTTTTTTTGGGGAGAATTTTGCGGCCACCATAGTTTCTCCTACACACTTGGAAGTCTGAGCTGTATACTTCACCACCAGATGGCACTAAATCCTACACACTGGTCCTTTAACGTACTACAGCAGGTGACAGTCCTGTGTTCGTTTGACCCATCCATCCACGCCAACCTCCCCAAATGTCTGTCAGTTACGATAATTCTGTGCTCACCAAAGTGACTGCTGGGACAGAGCAAGACAACATCAG